TTTTCGCCACTACACTAGACTACCTCTCCAGAGCTGATGCCTCTCTGAGACCGTCCCTAGGCACTAGAGCCACGAGCAGAGGCTCCCTCTCATGCTTGCCTGCTGTATACACCAGAATGGCCAATATTAAAAAAACTGACACCACCAAGTGCTAACCAAGACGTGGAGCTGCTGGAGCTCCCACACACCGCCGGTGAGGATTTAAGTCAATAGAGCCACTTTGGAAAACGGTCTGGCAGTGTCTAGACAAGCTAAACGCATGCCTACTCTGATCCCACGCCTAAGTCAATGAGTGAACATGTGTACCAAGCAACATGTACAAAATCCTTCATAGCAGTTTTATGATGCCCCCAAACCAGGAACAACCCAATTGTCCCTCAACAGGATGGCTGGGCCAGGCGTGGTGGCTCACGCTTGTAATCCCAGTACTTTGGGAGGCTGAGGCGGGTGGATCGCTTGAGCCCAGTAGTTTGAGACCAGCCTGGGCAACACAGTGAGACCCCATCTCTAAAAAATCATGAAAAACTAGCTGGTAGGCCGGGCGCGGTGGCTCAAGCCTGTAGTCCCAGCACTTTGGGAGGCCGAGACGGGCGGATCACGAGGTCAGGAGATCGAGACCATCCTGGCTAACACGGTGAAACCCCGTCTCTACTAAAAAAATACAAAAAAAAAACTAGCCGGGCGCGGTGGCAGGCGCCTGTAGTCCCAACTGCTCGGGAGGCTGAGGCAGGAGAATGGCGTAAACCCGGGAGGCGGAGCTTGCAGTGAGCTGAGATCCGGCCACTGCACTCCAGCCTGGGCGGTAGAGCGAGACTCCGTCTCAAAAAAGAAAAAAAAAAAAAAAAAAAAAAAACTAGCTGGCATGGTGGCATGTGCCTGTAGTCCCAGCTACTTGGGGGGCTGAGGTGGGAGGATCACTTGAGCCCAGGAATTCAAGACCAGCCTGGGTAACAGAGTGAGACTCCACCTCTACAAAAAATAGAAAAAATTAGCTGGTGTGGTGGCATGTGCCTGTAGTCTCAGCTCCGTGGGAGGCTGAGGTGCAAGGATCACTTGAGCCCAGGAGGTTGAGGCTGCAGTGAGTCTTGATGGCACCACTGCATTCCAGCCTGGGTGACAGAGTGAGAACGTCTCAAAAACAAAAACAAAAAAGTAGGATGGCTAAATTGTGCTATATTCAAATAAAGGACCACTACACAGCATGAAAAAACTCAGCTTTTTTTTTTTTGAGACAGAGTCTTACTACGTCACCTAGGCTGGAGTGCAGTGGCGTGATCTCAGCTCACTTGCAACCTCTGCCTCCCGGGTTCAAGTGATTCTCCTGCCTCAGCCTCCGAGCAGCTGGGATTACAGGCATGCGCCACCACCATGACCGGCTAATTTTTGTATTTTTAGTAGAGACAGGATTTCACCATGTTGGCTAGGCTGGTGTCGAACTCCTGACCTCAAGTGATGTACCCACCTTGGCCTCCCAAAGTGCTGGGATTACAGGCATGAGCCACTGTGCCTGGCTGAAAAAAAAAACTGAACTTCTGAGACATACAGTAACGTGGGTGAATTCCACAAACTAATATTGTGCAAAATGTATGATTCCAGTTTTATAAAACTCAAGAGCAAGCAAAACTAATCTACAATGATAGAGGTCAAAATAGTGGTTACTTCGGGGGACACTGACTAGGAGGGGAAATAAGGGAATGTTTTGGGGACCTGGCAATGTTCTGTATCTTGATATGGAGGGTGACTGCCCCAATGTATACATATAAGTGAGGACTCATCAAATTGAAGCCTAAAATTGGTGCACATTACTGAATGTGTGGTGTACCTAAAAAAGTTCGGAAAAAAAAGGAAACAGTTAAACAATTTCTGGGTATGGTGCACAGTTGTTTTTGCCCCCTCTTCCCCCTGCATCCATTCCCCCTCAATCTGGAAAGAGCCCCTACAACTTTCTTCTTTTGGGGCTGCGTCACTCCCTCTCTCAATATGTTTTAGGTGGAGGTGACTCAGCTTTAGGCACATGACCCAGGCCCCAAATCAGAGTGCCTTTTCCCCTAGCCACAGGGATTAATTCAGGGATGAGAACAGGACTAAAGCAGTTGAGGCAATCCCAGATATTTTGTTGGAACTAGTGGAGAAAGGTGTTCTTTCCACTGTTGTTACTAACGTATCAGGATAGAAGCCTGGGGCTGCTGGTGGCCACCTTGGCACCTCTTGGAGAGAGCTTGCCTGAGAGAGGGCACACAGAGGAAAGCAGAAGGACAGAAAATTCTTCCTGATGAGACCATCTCCGAGTATGGGTCCAGCTATCACTGTATGTGGATTTTTCATTAAGTGAATCAAAACATTCACTTTTTTAGCTAATCGCTTTGGTTTGGCTTTTTTTTTTGAGACAGAATCTCCCTCTGTCGCCCAGGCTGGAGTGTAGTGGCGTGACCTCGGCTCACTGCAAGCTCCGCCTCCTGGGTTCACGCCATTCTCCCACCTCAACCTCCCAAGTAGCTGGGACTATAGGCACCCGCCACCACGCCCGGCTAATTTTTCTGCATTTTTAGTAGAGACGGGATTTCACTGGGTTAGCCAGGATGGTCTCGATCTCCTGACCTTGTGATCCGCCCGCCTTGGCCTCCCAAAGTGCTGGGATTACAGGCGTGAGCCACCGCGCCTGGCCTGATTTGGGTTTCCAACAGTTTAATAATTGGAATCTAATACATTGGGAATGGACAAAATTATGAGAAAAATGGAGGGACTTGGAATATAAACATTGAGTCTTGTCTCATCTGTTTCGTGGGTGCTGCCCCTTCCCTGAGTGGCTGCTCACCCTGTGAGACCATGGCACTGTTAGGAGATGGGTGAGGCAGGCTGCAGGGGCCATGTGGGAGAGACTCTGGTCCTCACTTGTAAAGGGTTCCAGAGCAAGTCTAGAGAACTGGATTCTACTCTCCATTTTGTCACTTCTTAGAGGCAAGACCTTGGGCAAATCATGACACCTCTTTCAGCCTTGTTCCTTCTCTCCATGGTTTTTATTTATTTTATTTTTTATTTTTTGTAGAAATAGGATTTCACCATGTTAGCCAGAATGGTCTTGAACTCCTGGCTCAAGTGATCCACCCGCCTCGGCTTCCCAAAGTGCTGGGATTACAGGTGTGAGCCACCCTGCCTGGCCTCCTTCTCTATATGGAATATCAACTCTTAGCTCAAAGGTTGTTACGCAGATCAAATGCTAGTTTCCCAATCTCTCCAGCTTTTTCATACCCTTGGCTGAGTCAGTTCCTCATCCTGGGCTTTCTTATCATTGTCATCATGATCTTTGACCGTGTGTGAATCCCCAAGGGCAAGAAAGTGTTAATCTCTAGGTCCCCTTACCAACAGGGCTGGCCACACAGCCGGCAGGGACTACAAAGTGGTCTTGCAGGCCGGAGGCTCACGGTATGATAGCCCATTGACCCTCTGCCCTTCATTTCCTTGCTTGGTAGCTGGGGCTGAATCCGACATACTAGGTGGCTTAGAAGGACCCTGGGGAATTGCTGGAGCAGTCTGATCTTGGGAAGCTGAGAACCTCCCCTGGGGCTGTGTAGAGCCTTTCACAGCAGACCAGGAGCAGGGGCTGAGTGGTGCTGAATGGGAGCTGAGGCTGCCTGGGCCCCTTCCTCAAACCTGGCTGTCTACAGTAAAGGATGGACAAAGAGCTCCTGAGGCCATAACACCCCTTCCTTTTTTTAAATTTTAAAAATTATTCTTTTTAGAGACAGGGTCTTTCTTGCTCTGTTGTCCAGACTGGAGTACGGTGGCATAATCATAGCTCACTGCTGCCTTGAACTCATGATTAAAGCGATCCTCCTGCCTCACCCTTCCAGGTAGCTAGGACTATAGGCATGCACCACCACACCCAGCTATCTTCTTTTAAAATTTATTATTTATTTATTTTTTTGGAGACAGGAGTCCTGCTCTGTCACCTAGGCTGGAGTGCAGTGGCACGATCTCGGCTCACTGCAACCCTCCGCCTCCCGTGTTCAAGCGATTCTCCTGCCTCAGCCTCCCGAGTAGCTGGGACTACAGATGCGTGCCACCATGCCCAGCTTATTTCTCCATTTTTTATAGAGACAGGGTTTTGCCATGTTGGCCAGGCTGGTCTCGAACTCCTGACCTCAGGTTATCCACCTGCCTTGGCCTCCCAAAGTGCCTGGATTACAGGCATGAGCCATGGCACCTGGCCTTAACATTTATTTTTATATATATTTTTTTGGAGATAGAGTCTTGTTATGTTACCCTGGCTGGAGTGCAGTGGTTATTCACAGGCATGATCATAGCATACTACAGGCTGGAACTCCTGGGTTTGAATGGTCTTTCTGCCTTGGCCTCCTGAGCAGCTGGGACTATAGGTGCATGCCACCACAGCTGGCCATAACACTCCTCAGCTCATTTTTGAGTCATGGAAAATGCTCTTTCAAGAATCACCAGGCCTATGATAAGTCCCATGGAACAAACCTATCACTGTGTAAGAGCTGAGCAGGAAAAAACCATCTCTTCTCATACACCTCATTCATTCATTCATTCAATAAAACTTCATGATACACCACTATGGACATCAGGAAGTAGAGACGAATAAGGCTGGGTCTCTGCCCTAAGTGATTGGCCTGGAAAGCCATACTGGACACAGTTTCCATACTGGCCTCCTTGTCTCCTTTCCTGCCCCTCCCTGCATTCCTTTACACAACAGCCAGAATTCTCTCAAACATAAAGCAGATCCCCAGCTTAAACCCTTTAAAGACCTTCACGAGGCCCTATGTGACAGGAGAAGCAGGAGAACATGGATGAGAAGATGAGGCTGTATTGAGTTCAGGGCAACTGAACTCAAGGGAGACTTTCACAGGGTGCTTGACTCTGTCCCAACTCCTAAAATGACTACTGGGGACTACTGAGGTCTGAATGGGGTGGGGGTGAGGGGTCAAGACAGACATACTAGATCCAGTGGCAATATGGCTCAAAACCCTAGGTCTGTTAAGTTGCAGTCTGGCTCATGGGGGAAATTCTTTATTTGGATGCTTCAGTGACCAAGAGACAGAGCATTAGACACACATCAGCACACACATACACACAAACACACACACACACACACCCACACGATATGCAAAGCAAAGGCATTTCACAGGTGAAGGGATAGGGAGTGGGGGAAGGAGGCCACGAGAGCAGCTAGGGGCTTCTCTGACACAATGAGGAGAAGCCTCTGATGGTGACACTCCTTGGAATTCTTGCCTCAAAGCTACAAGGAAAACTCTATCCCTGTGGACTCAGTCCCAGGCCACAAAACAGTAAAGACAGAGAAATCTGGGTGTGGGGCCCGGGGGACACCTGCTCCTCACTGTAGAAACCTGCATCAGCTCTCTATTTCTTTCCCTGGGACCCAGAAATCGCCTGGTGGATGACGGGGAAGGCTAGCACCACAGCAACCTGGGCAAGGTGGTCTGCTGCACAAGGGGGAAGAGAGGGCGAGTAGGGCCGAGGGTAGCAATGAACCTCACAGCTGGCTGGCATGAGGCAGTTTGCCTTTAGGGGCAGAACCCTCAGGGAGACTTGCATGTGGGGCACTTTCCCATGTGACCTTGGGTCAGAGCACCTCTGATGGAGGAGGGGAAAGGTCCCATCCCCACTGGAGTGTCCTATAATCCCAGTGGACATGGAGGCCGCCCCCAGCCCCAGCTCGTTGCTAACTGCTGCAGATCCTTAGCACCATTCAGGAACCGTGGAGAGGGCAGCGGGGGGAGCAATGCTCCGCCAAGACTGTGTCACCGCTCCAGGAGGAGACTTCACAGTTGGCAGAAACCTGCGCAACTGGCCATATCTGGTCTAAGGCTCAGGAAAGCCTGCACCTTCTGGGGGAAGGCAGAGTGTTGTATTAGCTCCAAGCTTCCATGTTGCAGCCATTTCCTCTGTTTCCTGCCTCAGCCCAGGTTTGGCATGAAAGTTCCAGGTTTCACTGGAAATGTCTAGGGCCCAGGGAGATCTCTGTTCTTTAGTTGCAGGAACTGGCCCAAAACTGACCTTTAGAGGAAAGACAGGTGGCTGGGGCCTCAGCACCTATGGCCCAGAGGGGCTGGGGAAGGGGGAAAGCCACCCTCCAAACTGCCACCGGTGAGACCCCAGGTCTCTCAATACCCTTGCCTCCCCTGTCATGACCTACAGGACTCCTGCCAAAGGGGAGCAGCAGGAGTGAATTAGCCTGGACCAACCAGAGGCTGTCTGTGGCCCAATGCTGCCTCAGGCCTGTGTACTTTCCTGGTGAGAACAAGGAGTGAGAGGGAGCCAAGGGCTGAGCAGTCACGGGAAGCTGGCTCACGGCTGGCCCAACATGGGATGCTGGGCAGAATCACCTCTAGTCTTCCAAGGTGGTTGCCTCTTTCTGAATGGGTTGCCTTTGCATTGGAATCTGGCCCAGGGATGATGCCACTGTTTTTGGTGACCTGTATTTGAGAAGGAACAAAGGAACAGGGTCAGTGTGTGGCAGCTGTATTGGCTTATTGCAATGATAGCACTGCCCTGTTAGGGCCTTGGAGTAATAGGCAGGGCACCTTTCCTTCACTGAGGTCCACTGTGGGCTGGCAGAATGCTGGATGCTTAGCTTCCATCATTCCATCCTCATGGCAATTCTAGCAAGGTGAGAAGCAGCATCCTCATTTTACATACAAGGAAAGTAAAGTTCAGAAAGTTTAAGTGGCTGGCCCATAGTATGTTTTTTTTTTTTTTTTCTGAGATGAAGTCTCGCTCTTGTCGCTCAGACAGGAGTGCAGTGGCGCGATCTCTGCTCACTACAACGTCTGCCTCCCAGGTTCAAGCGATTCTCGTTACTCAGCCTCCCAAGTAGCTGGGATTATAGGCGCCCGCAACCACGCCCGGCTGATACCTGTACTTTTAGTAGAGACAAGGTTTCTCCAGGTTGGCCAGGCTGGTCTCCAACTCCCTACCTCAGGTGATCCACCCGCCTCGGCCTCCCAAAGTGCTGGGATTACAGGCGCGAGCCACCGCACCCGGCCGCAAAGTATGTTTTTAAGTGGTAGGTTCAGGACTGTAGCCAATGCCTTTTCACTATACCAAACCACTGCCTACAGGGCCCTATACAAACTCATTCCATTTGGTAGTGGCAGAGTAAAATGAATGGGCTTCGAAGTCAAACAGGCTTGAATCCTAGGTCTAACTCCAAGTAACCAAGTGAACTTGGGCAAGTCAATTAACCTATCTGATAATTAGGCTTTCTTTGGTTGTAAAAGGCAGGGGTGGGGGGATATCCTAATTTCAGATCTTTTGTTGAGAATTTAATGAGACTGAAATCAGGTGTTCAACAAATTATAGCTTTATCCTTACAGAATTAGAGGCTTTTTAAAAATTTTGAGACAGGATCTCACTCAGGCACCCAGGCTGGAGTACAGTGGTGCCATCATAGCTCACTGCAACTCAAAGCTCACTCCACCTCCTGGGCTCAAGCTATTGTCTCATTTCAGCCTCTCAAGTCGTTGGGACTACAGGTGTGCATTGCCACACCTGGCTAACTTTATTTTTTGTAGTCGGGGTCTTACTACATTGTCCATATTGGGAGAATTAGAGACTTACTGACTTGCCCAAGGTCACAATGCTGGAAAGTTTAGCAAGAGAACAGTGAACAACACTAGCACTTTCAGGTATGGGTAGCCCCACGGTGCGGCTCTGGTTGGCTTCAGGTTGTCTGTTGTAACTGCCATCATCCAAGCTGCAAGGGAGGTATGTATGCTGAAACACTGTGGGACTGAGTTGCTGGGGCTTGTCTCAAGTCTATACCTAAGAGTACCCCCAAAGTAAAAAACATATCCACAGGTAAAGAGGATGATCTGCTACAGTATGAGAGAGGAGACTCCAGGCAGAGTAGAGAGAACTAAGGACATTTTTCACACCAATACTCTGTGTTTCCACCACCTTTAAATCATTCAGCTCAATGAGCAAAGCAAAATCAATGACCAAAGTCAAACAAACATTTCAGCAGCTTGCCCGCCTGAAACTCAGTTTCCTTGTCTGTAAAACGGGAATTCTGCTACCCATCTCAGAAGGTTATGCTGGGGCCAGGTGCAGTGGCTCACACCTGTAATCCCAACACTTTGGGAGGCCGAGGCAGGCGGATCACTCGAGCTCAGGAGTTTGAGACCAGCCTGGCCAACGTGGTGAAACCCCATCTCTACTAAAAAAAAAAAAAGGTTATGTTGTGGCACACTGCTCATACCACACATTTCCCTTCAGAGAGGAAGGGACAGAACCACGTAGGCCCTCCAGACCAGGTCCTATCCTCTTTATATCAATGGTGCCATAACCTACTTTTGAGCCTGACGCCTTGGGAGGAGCATGCTGTGGGCCAGATAGGCTTCAAGTTGAATCAAGACCGTGCTTCATTCACATCACCACTTTGAATGCTGGTTGTCTATATGTGTAAAATGGGAATAATTATCTTTCCTCTCAGGATTGGAAGGATTACCTGAGAAAATATGCTTGACATACGGCCTGCAACAGAAGAGGGGCTCAAGGAATGTTAGTCACTTCCAAGATTACCATGAACAGGTAACTCTCCGTTCACCTGGTTCCTTCAAAACCCTTATCACAATCTGTGATTATTGGTTGTTTACTTGCTTAGTCTGTTTCCTCCCACCAGGCTGTAAGGTCATGAGAGCAGAGGCTGGGTCTGTCTTGGCCACCATTCAGAAGATGCTCAATATATATTTGATTAATGAATGAGAGGGCCTGGTCATATTTGATAAAAACCTATAGAGGGAACTCCTACCAGCAAAGGATAGGGTCTCCAGGCCAGTGGAAGAACACTTCCCCAGAGTGCTACAGACCAGGAAAGCCAGGTGTTCTTAGGGTTCCACCAAGAAAATCATGTATGCTTCTCTATTAAAACCTTCAGCCCAACAGCTCCAAAGACTGGGCAGAAGCCGGTAGAGAAATACATATAGAGGAGACACTTGTTCCTGTTAAATGATTTATCTTCTGTTCACTGAAAAAAGGCTGCCAGGATTCCACTTCGGCCCAGAACCACCTGGCTTTGTTCTGACGCAGAAGTCCTGGGCTCCTGCTATGGATCCTAGAATTTCAAAAAATGGTTACTTACTGGTTCTTGTGTTTGAAGCCGCTGACATGAGCTTGGTACTGTTCTATGGAGTTCAGCACTATCTTACATGTTTTGCAGGGGTAGCCCTTTCCAGCTGAAACACATCAAAATCAAGATCTTAGTTATCCAGTAAGAAGTAACCTAAAGACTGTTGCTTTTCAGAGTGTACAAATGCCCTTCTAAGAACTGACAGGTGAGGCGAGGTGAGGTTGCTGGCCCTGATGAGAACCCAGAGGCCACAGTGCTCAGGAGGCACAGACTGCGTGCCTGTGTGCTTCCTGGGGTTGGGAACATCCTCATTCCTGTGTCCCCCATCCCAGCATAGAGCCCGGCCCAGACTAGCTGAGTGATAAAAGAATGACAGAACAAAGAAGTGACATTTGGTGTCTCTGCTAACTTAACTGTGCTAACTGGCCTCATTAAGGATGCCCTTCACTGAGAGATCTCTGGGAAGGTGCCACTCTCCGAGGGCTTGCAGTAACAGTAATTAATGAGAATGCTGGTTATGAAAATCAATCTGTCTTTCTACCCTGGGAATCACTGACTGTATCTCACTTTACCAGGGCTGCTCCCATGACAAAGTGGCTTTTCCCACATGGTCTGGTAGTGAGTGAGGAGCCAGGAGAGGGAATTGAACTGCTGGTTCTGCTTTCATGTGACCTTAGCTAGATTCCTTCCTTTCTGAGCTTTTTCTTTTTTTTTTGAGCTCTGTGGCCAGGCTGGAGTGCAGTGGCACGATCTCGGCTCACTGCAACCTCTGCCTCTTCAAGGGATTCTCCTGCCTCAGCCTCCTGAGTAGCTGGGACTACAGGTGTGTGCCACCATGCCCAGCTAATTTTTGTATTTTTGGTAGAGACGGGGTTTTATCATGTCGGCCAGGATGGTCTCGCTCTCTTGACCTGGCAATCCACCCGCCTCGGCCTCCCAAAATGCTGGGATTACAGGTGTGAGCCACTGTGCCCGGCATGATCCTTAGCTTTTCTTAACCTCAAACCAATTATACCACAACTTATTTTTTTGAGACAGAGTCTCATTCTGTCGCCCAGGCTGGAGTGCAGTGGCACGATCTCGGCTCACTGCAAGCTCCGCCTCCCGGGTTCACGCCTCAGCCTCCTGAGTAGCTGGGACTACAGGCGCCCGCCACCACGCCCGGCTAATTTTTTGTATTTTTTAGTAGAGACGGGGTTTCACCGTGTTAGCCAGGATGGTCTCGATCTCCTGACCTCATGATCCGCCTGCCTTGGCCTCCCAAAGTGCTGGGATTACAGGAGTGAGCCACTGCACCCGGCCCACCACTTATTTATTTAGAGACAGAGTTTTGCTCTTGTTCCCAGGCTGGAGTGCAATGGCGTGATCTCCACTCCCTGCAACCTCTGCCTCCAGGGTTCAAGCGATTCTCCTGCCTCAGCCTCCCAAGTAGCTGGGGCTACAGGTGTGTGCCACCATGCCTGGTTAATTTTTTGTATTTTTAGTAGAGACAGGGTTTCACCATGTTGGCCAGGCTGGTTTCAAACTCCTGACCACAGATGATCTGCTTGCCTTGGTCTCCTCCCAAAGTGCTGGGTTTGGGATTATAGGTGTTGAGCCACCGTGCCCAGGCCCACAACTTATTTTTGATTTTTTTGAGACAGAGTCTCATCCTATCACCCTGGCTGGAGTGCAGTGGAGGCAGCTCCGTCTCCTGGGTTCAAGCGATTCTCCTGCCTCAGCCTCCCGAGTAGCTGGGATTACAGGCGTGCACCACCATGCCCAGGTAATTTTTGTATTTTTAGTAGAGATGGGGTTTCACCATGTTGGCCAGGCTGGTCTTGAACTCCTGTCCTCGTGATCCACCCACCTCGACCTCCCGAAGTGCTGGGATTACAGGCGTGAGCCACCACGCCCGGCCACACCTGGGTAATTTTTGTATTTTCTTTTTTTTGTAGAGATGGCGTTTTGCCATGTTGCCCAGGCTCCAAACCTCTTCACATTGGAACCAGGATGATCTGCCCATAAAACTCAAACTGGCAACGGCTTCCCAGGGCTCTTAGGGTAAAGGCCCACCTCCCTAACATGACCCACAAAGTCATGCATGAACGCCTGCTCATTTCCTCCACATCACTATGTCCCACACTATCCTACTTGCCCTCTGGGGGGCCTTTCTTGATCCCTGCTCCCCCATCTTATCTCCCCTCATTTTATGCCCAGTCTTGCATTTGTCTTTTTTTCTAAAGTTTGTCACAGTTGTAACTATTTGCTCAATGCCTGTATTCTCTGCTAGACTGTAAGCTCCATAAGGACATAGACAATACCTGTCTTGTTTACTACATATATACCACCATGCCTGGCACATATTAGGTAAAAGTCCAATAAATACTTATTGACTATCTATGAATTTAGTAAGACTTGAAAACTTGTCCTGTATAAAAAGCTGAAGAAACTGGGGGACCAGCATGGGGCTCAGAAACCAGCTCTACTGAGTGGGAGACAAGACCCTAATTAGGGAGAGTAAGTGATGGGGTGAAGCAGAGAAGGATTTCAGTAACCTGGAGGGGACATTCAATGCTCTGGGGGCAAGAAGGATTTGCCTGAATGCTATGTAGGTTTTAGTTCTGGCCTTCTCTGGTAAATATGAGAGAAACGCAAGCCTGGAGTATAAAACCACTCTAAGCCTTATTTGATCTGCTTGGTAGATGATGCATTTGCCCAGGTGGGATTTGGATACCCTAGGTCATTTTACAGTAGATCCATACTTGCCATGAGACACTTGTCAGGGACCCTCAGGAACTAGTCTCTGGATCCAACACAGAACTACATTGGGTTTCAATGTGGGCTCAGGCTCTGCCACTCTTTAGTGTGGAACCTGTGGCAAATCACTTCATCTTTCTGGTTTTAATATCCTCATCTGTAAAATGGTGATAATCAAAGTTGTTCAACAGAGTTATCGTCAGGATTATATCAGGTAATGAAATGTGAGAGCACCGAGCCCAAGCCCTGGGCCATAGCTCCTATCAGTAAGTGTTAGATGACTTGACTAAATGAATGAACTAAATGAATGAGTGGCTTTGAACGAAGCCAGCAGGGAGAAGTCAAGCTGTTAACAAACCTAAATAGGCCGGGCTCATGCCTGTAATCCCAGCACTTTGGGAGGGCAAGGTGGGTGGATCACTTAAGGCCAGGAGTTCCAGACCAGCCTAGCCAACATGGTGGAACCATCTCTACAAAAACAAAAACACCTGAATTCTTTGCTAAGGTAGAATCCTTGTCAGTTGAAGTCATTGCCTGCATATTCTAGGTCAACAGCCTACCTCTGTAAGTAAGAAGGGGGATAGAGTGGGGCTCAGTGCCTCTGCTAGACATTCTATACTTGGAAAGCCTCCTGCCAAGTATGCTCAGAGCTGGAGGCAGGTGGAAGGAGTGTAAGGTTTGGAGCCACACAGAGCTAAAGACCCAAAGTGATATCAACACGGGGATTATTAATATCAAGGTCCTATCAGCTGTATGAGCTCAAACCATTCACTCTGGGTCTCAACCTCTTTGTGAAGTGGTCGAAATTATATCTGTTTATAGGAATGTGTGGAAATTAAAATTATAATGTATATATTCCTATCAAAAGGGGATTTAATACCCCTGCCTCTTTGCCTATTTTTTTTTTTTAAATAAAAAAGTATCGATTTTCTTCAAATCCAAGTCCTCTTGAAAATCTATGATCTCAGGCTGGGCACGGTGACTCACACCTGTAATCCCAGCACTTTGGGAGGCCGAGACGGCTACATCACCTGAGGTCAGGAGTCTGAGACCAGCATGGCTGACATGGTGAAACCCCGTCTCTACTAAAAATACAAAATTAGCCAGCCGTGGTGGCGCATGCCTGTAATCCCAGCTACTTGGGAGGCTGAGGCAGGAGAATTGCTTGAACCCAGGAGGCGGAGGCTGCGGTAAGCCGAGATCACGCCATTGCACTCCAGCCTGGGCAACAAGAGCAAAATTCTGTCTCAAAAAACACAACAACAACAACAAAAAACCTGATTTTTCTTTTTATTTTTTTGAGACAGGGTCTCACCCTGTCGCCCAGACTGCAGTGCAGCGGCACAATCTTGGCTCACCACAACCTCCGCCTCCCAGGCTCAAGCGATTCTCCTGCCTCAGCATCCTGAGAAGCTGGGATTACAGGTGCACGCCAACACGCCTGGTTAATGTTTTTGCATTTTTAGGAGACACAGGGTCTCGCCACGTTGAGCAGGCTGGTGTTCAACTCCTGACCTCAAATGATCCACCCACCTCGGCCTCCCAAAGTGCTGGGATTACAGGTGTGAGCCACTGCGCCCGGACAAGAACACGGGATTTTAAAGTTATGTTATTTGGCTTGATTGCCACCTGCATCTCTAATTGATAATATACAACTTAGTTTTAGAGTCTTTATTTGTTCTCCATAAGGACCAAAAAAAAGAGAAAAAACAAAACTTAAAGAGACACAGGTCGTTTTTTTTTTTTTTTTTTTTGAGATAGAGTTTCATTCTTGTCACCCAGGGTGGAGTGCAATGGCGCGATCTCGGCTCACTGCAACCTCTGCCTCCCGGGTTCAAGTGATTCTCCTGCTAGGATTACAGGCACCCGCCACCACACCCGGCTCATTTTTTGTGTTTTTAGTGGAGACGGGGTTTCACCAGGTTGCCCAGGCTGGTCTCTAACTCCTGACCTCAGGTGATCCACCCGCCTCGGCCTCCCAAAGTGCTGAGATTACAGGCGTGAGCCACCACACCCAGCCACAGACAGAGGTCTTTCTATAATACGTTCCTCTATGTATTTAAGAACTTGAAATAACTAGCATAAAATGAATATTCCATTCAGTAATAATTTTTTATTTATTTTATTATACTTTAAGTTCTAGGGTACATGTGCACAATGTGCAGGTTACATATGTATACATGTGCCATGTTGGTGTGCTGCACTCATTAACTTGTCATTTACATTAGGTATATCTCCTAATGCTATCCCTCCCCCCTCCCCCCACCCCACAACAGGTCCCAGTGTGTGATGTACCCCACCCTGTGTCCAAGTGTTTTCATTGTTCAATTCCCACCTATGAGTGAGAACATGCGGTGTCTGGTTTTC